TGGTGTATAGTCTCTCGTCCAGTACTGGGAGTACCTTGTGATACACCGCTGCATCAGTAATGGGTGGTATCGCTACTAGCCGTGGGTGTGGCCGCTACCACGGTGCAGTGGATTCGTTCGGTGCTATCCTCCTGGTGTGAGTAGTTCGGGTCCCCCCTCCTGGTCAGAGTCGTTCGGGCCCCTCCTCGATGTGTGAGTCGTTCGGCGAAGGGCCCAAACGACTCACACAAGGAGGGGCCCGAACGACTCTCACCAGGGCGAGGGGCCCCACCGACGCACACCACCTGCATTCCGATCCAGGACGTGCGCACTCTGAGTTCCGTCATTCTACCCTTTTCGAATTGAAATCCTGTCGACGACTGTCGAGTGCACTTCTTACCACTACGACTCTGGGTAGAGCGAGTCGGGAGACGGGATGTTGCCTCAATGGAGCTTCTGTTCGTGGGTTCGCTGGTACTCGTTTCTGTATTATGTACTGGTGCTTGTTATTCTGCTGATGTGATGGTGCTGGTTACTGTACTCGCCGCTATTGCCTCTTATTCTTGGTGATTGCTGGGTTCCTTCGGGTGTCCGGCAGTGGGCTGAGATGGTGTATAGTCTGTCGTCCAGTACTGGGAGTACCTTGTGATACACCGCTGCATCAGTAATGGGTGGTATCGCTACTTTGCCACGCTGGGCTATCAGGCAGTTTTAGCCGTGGGTGTGGCCGCTACCACGGTGCAGTGGATTCGTTCGGTGCTCTCCTCCTGGTGTGAGTAGTTGGCCCCCCCCCTTTTTGTGTGAGTCGTTCGGGCCTCCCCTCGATATGTGAGTCGTTCGGCGAGGGGCCCAAACGACTCACACAAGGAGGGGCCCGAACGACTCACACCAGGGCGAGGGGCCCCAAAGACGCACACCACCTGCATTCTGATGCAGGACGTGCGCACTCTGAATTCCGTGATTCCACCCTTGTCGAACTGAAATCCTGTCGCCTTCTGTCTTGCCTCCATCGCCGTCTGTCCCTCCTCCTCTTCCTCCCCTTCGACTCCTAGTCGTAGTAACAGTAGTAGTGGCAGTAGTAGTAGTAGTAGTAGTAGTAGTAGTAGTAGTAGTAGTAGTAGTAGTAGTAGTAGTAGTAGTAGTAGAGTAGTAGTAGTAGTAGTAGTAGTAGTAGTAGTAGTAGTAGTAGTAGTAGTAGTAGTAGTAGTAGTAGTAGTAGTAGTAGTAGTAGTAGTAGTAGTAGTAGTAGTAGTAGTAGTAGTAGTAGTAGTAGTAGTAGTAGTAGTAGTAGTAGTAGTAGTAGTCGTAGTAGTCGTAGTCGTAGTCGTAGTAGTCGTAGTAGTCGTAGTAGTAGTAGTAGTAGTAGTAGTAGTAGTAGTCGTAGTAAGTAGTAGTAGTAGTAGTAGTAGTAGTAGTAGTAGTAGTAGTAGTAGTAGTAGTAGTAGTAGTAGTAGTAGTAGTAGTAGTAGTAGTAGTAGTAGTAGTCGTAGTAGTAGTAGTAGTAGTAGTAGTAGTAGTAGTAGTAGTAGTAGTAGTAGTAGTAGTAGTAGTAGTAGTAGTAGTAGTAGTAGTAGTAGTAGTAGTAGTAGTAGTAGTAGTAGTAGTAGTAGTAGTAGTAGTAGTAGTAGTAGTAGCAGTAGTAGTAGTAGTAGTAGTAGTAGTAGTAGTAGTAGTAGTAGTAGTAGTAGTAGTAGTAGTAGTAGTAGTAGTAGTAGTAGTAGTAGTAGTAGTAGTAGTAGTAGTAGTAGTAGTAGTAGTAGTAGTAGTAGTAGTAGTAGTAGTAGTAGTAGTAGTAGGAGGAGGAGGAGGAGGAGTAGCAGTAGCAGTCGTAGTGATAGTAGTAGTAGTAGTAGTGGCATTTCCAGTATCAGCGGTCGGTCTCCTCGTGGTGTGAGTCGTTCGGGCTCCTCGTGGTGTGAGTCGGTCGGGCGCCTCCTCCTGGTCTGAGTCGTTCGGGCCCCTCCTTGTGGTGTGAGTCGTTCGGGCTCTTCGTGGTGTGAGTCGTTCGGGCCCCTCGTCCTGGTGTGAGTCGTTCGGGCTCCTCGTGGGGCCTCTTGGGGGCCTCTTGGGGGCCTCTTCGGGCCTGTTGGGCGCCTCTTGGGAGCCTCTTGGGGGCCTCTTGGGAGCCTCTTGGGGGCTCTGGGGGCCTCGTGGGAGCCTCTTGGGGGCCTGTTGGGAGCCTCTGGAGGCCTCTTGGGGGCCTCTTGGGAGCCTCTTGGAGGCCTCTTGGGGGCCTCCTGGGGGCATCTTGGGGCCTCTTGGGGGTTTCTTGCGACCTCCTCAGAAGCGCAAATGAGCGCCACCCCCTGAGAAGGACATAGTGAGCCCAAAACCTTCGTAAAATCAATGATTTTGAGAACAAGGAAGAGGAGCGCTGCCCCCTCAGAAGGCCAAAATGGGGCCAACACCGTAGTAAAATCAATGATTTTGGCTTCACAGAAGAGGAGAGGGTTTTTTCTCAATCCCCCCGTCGGGGGCAGAATCCTCGTGAGGGTCGTCGTTTTTTAGCCCTCCCAGGAGTCGAAAAAGACCCCTCCAACCACCCGCGGCCCGCCCTCTCCAGACCCAGGGGGAGGGGGTAGGGGGAGGGGTAAACCCCTCCCCGAAGGGGAAGAAGGGGGTTGGGGGATTGAGAACAGAGAAAGCTCGCTAAACCACTCACGCCCAAAGGGCTGGTGGGATTTGGGTTTCGCCTTCTCAGGTAAATGACGGCCCACGACGGCTCTGAGGGCCTCCGAAATCGCGCCAAGACGGCCAAAGAGGCCCCAAGAGGGCTACAAGACAACCCAAGAAGGCCCCAATACGTTCCGAGAAGGCCCCAGGACTGCCCAGGAGGGCCCGAAGATTGTCTAAAAGGGCCTCAATATGATTATTTACTAAGAAGGCCAGGAGAGGCCAAACTCATGTATCCGAATTCCGTTCCGCTTGGATGGCAACCATATGTTGTTCCAGTCCAGGTGTCTTCTGGCCTCCTATCCTCATCTTCCCTCCCCGCAGGGTAGGAGGCCAGAAGACAGCAGGACGGGAGCAACATATGATTGACATCCGATTTTCGTTCCGCATTCAAATGCGGAAGCCATTTACTTATCGCGTCCAGCGATAGCATGCTTGGGCCGTCCTGGAAGTCGTGTTGGGCATCTTGGACGCGCGCGCCGGAAGAACGCATTCAAGGCTATCAATGAAAAGTGGACTCCCTGTGGGCCCCTGGGGTTCCCACCCGCGTGTCAAATGCAGCCGGATCCTAGGGCAGTCCATTCACTCCTCGAGTTTGATGGCCGTCTCCGTGACTCGCTTGGGCTTCTCGGGGGCCATGGCCGGCGTCATCTTTGGCGAGAGGGTGGCCCCCGTGACGGCGGAGTACCACTTGTCAACCTCTTGGTAGGCCGCCACTCCCTCGCCATCTCTTAACCCCTTGAGCTCACCTCCTCGGTTCGGCACCTCGAGTTTCTCAGTAAGCACGCACCAGAAGTCCTCATCAAGTCGCTCGAAATCATCCTCAGCGAGCTCGTGCTCACCTTTGTCGTCGCTGTCCTGCTGTCGTAGCGCGGTGGCGTTCTCATATTCTGTTTACGCCAATCTCGCGTTGATGACCTTTAGAGTGTCCTCCTCGTCGTCTCCTGGTATAACCCCGTCAAGGGACTCGAGCCTCTTGCTCAGGAACTTCACGGCCTTTCGGTATGCAGTCTTGAGTTGCCCCAGCGCGTTTAATAATCGGTCGTTCAACTCAAGGATCTTGACCCTGTCACCCGTGAACATCTTCAGGTTTTGAAGGGCCTTAAGCTCGCTGACCGGTTTGCCGTCTCCTCCTCCTCGGTTATTGTTTCCCTTGATCGCCTCATTAAGTTTGGTCAGCTTTGTGAGGGTGGTGCTCGGCACATCTGTTTGACCCTCAAGGGTCGCCACTCGATCAACTAGCGAACGCGCGTCCCGCCCTATGACCATGGATCTGTCCGCGAAGCTCAGCATTAATGCTTTCATCTTCTCGGCCATTTGTAACATCTGGAAGGCCTCCCTGGAGTTGGGCTGCCTCATTTCGTCAGTGGTTCGTTCACCCAGGAAATTGCTGATGTCTTCGTTGCTTGCGCGTAACGCTGTTCTGACATATTCAACTGAAGTCTCCGCTCCGTAATGCTCCCGCACGCAGCACTGTAAACCTCCCCGGGTCTAGGTTGAACCTCCAGTGGTAGGTCACATGGTACTTCTTGAGCAGCGAACGCTGCTGATCCGGGTACCGCCATGGCTGACCTCGCTCCGCTACCATGCAAAATCCACGGGAGGATTTAGCGTGGCAGCTTCCTTTTGACCGCAAGGCAAGGCGCGCTTAACGATCGATACTTGAGCCAAACAGCCGCGCTGACCACACTTCACTGCTCCAACTACCCCAGTCACTTATATGTAGCACCCAGCAATTGCGGATAAGAGTGAGGGGGCGGGCGGGCCGGCGCGGCGCCCGCGACCCACCCGCCTCGCGACCCGCCCGCGACCCATCGGCCTTCCGACCAGCCTGCGCCGCGACCCACCCGCGCCGCGACCCATCGGCGCCGCAACCCACCCGCGACGCGACCCGCCCACGACCCACACGCGCCGCGACTCTCTTGTGACCCACCCGGCGCCGCGACCCACCCGCGACCCACCCGCGGCGCGACCCAGCGGCGCCGCAACCCCCAGGGATGCCCGGACACTTCTATGCAAGTGTATGGCCCGGGAATGCCCGGACACTTTATGCAAGTGTATGCCCCGGGGATGCCCGGACATTTTTATTTATGCAAATGTAGCTCTCTCTATTGCGTGGTGGTCGTCATCTTGGCGGGGGGGGAGAAGGAAAATAGCCTACACCACAGAGCCCACTCCGCACAGCCTACATCGCATAGCTTGCACCGCATAGCTTGCATCGCAAAGCTCACACCACGTAACTGACACCACCTGGCTCTCCCAAATGCAGATTCCGGTCTCCCGGGGGAGGGGCAACATCTCGCACGCCGAGCGTACCCCGAGGGGACAGCGAATTCCGCGTTGCCCAGGCGGTGACATCTCCCCGCAAGAGCTCGAGGACTTCGCCAGAATCGCCAAGAAGTACGGCCTGTGGACGAAGATCACTGGCGCACAGCGCCTGGGCATGTTCGGGGCCGAGAGACACCAGCTTCCTAGCATCTGGAAGGAGCTCGTCGACGCGGGCATGGAGTCGGGGCAGGCCTATGGCAAGTCGCTGCGGACCGTGAAGAGCTGCGTGGGGTCTACGTGGTGCCGCTACGGCCAGCAAGACTCCGTGACCATGGCCGTGATCCTTGAGAACCGGTACAAGGGCATCCGCTCTCCGCACAAGATGAAGATGGGAGTGTCTGGCTGCCTCCGGGAGTGCGCCGAGGCCCAGGGCATCGTCGTCGTCGTCGTCGTCGATCGTCGTCGTTTTCGATCGTCGTCGTCGTCGTCGTCGTCGTCGAAGTCGTCGTCGTCGTCGTCGATCGTCGTCGATCGTCGTCGTTGTCGCCGTCGTCGTCGTCGTCGTCGTCGACGTCGTCGTCGGCTGCCTCCGGGAGTGCGCCGAGGCCCAGGGCAAGGACGTCGGGCTCATCGCCACTCAGAAGGGGTACAACCTCTACGTCTGCGGCAACGGGGGTGCGAAGCCTGTGCACGCGGCTCTGCTGGGCACGGACCTCAGCGAGGAGGATCCCTCCTCTTTTTCCACCTCATCAAACCTCTCCCCGTCCTCCTCCTGCCCCTCATCCTCCTCCGTATCCTCAGGAGTGCATCAAGTACATCGACCGCACCCTGATGTTCTACATCTCCACTGCGAAGCACTTGCAGCGGACCGCCCCCTGGCTTGAGGAGCTCCCGGGAGGCATCGAGTACTTGAAGCAGGTCGTCATCGGAGACAAGCTTGGCATATGTTCAGAGTTGGAGGCACTCCTGGAGCACGCCCACTGCACCTACAAGTGCGAGTGGAAGGAAGTCGTGTACGACGCTTCGCTGGCCAAGAAGTTCCAGCAGTACGCGAATACGCAGGAAACCCAGCACACGGAGCACATAGAGTACGTCGACATGCGCCGGCAGCGCCACCCGAACGTGTACAGCCCCCCAGACGTCACGGGGCCTGCCATCTTCCGGCGGGAAAAGGCGGACGAAGGCTGGGAGTGGTTCTCAGCGGGCCCCGCCTCCTCCCCTCCATCCTGGCGAAGCAGACGACGACGACGACGGCGGCGGCGACGGCGGCGGCGACGGCGACGGCGACGGCGACGGCAACGACGACGGCGACGACGGCGGCGACGACGACGGCGACGGTGGCGGCGACGGCGGCGACGACGGCGGCGGCGGCGGCGGCGACGACGACGGCGACGATTTGAGTCTGCCGCGGGGGTCAGAACTGCAGGGGGGGCATTGCGTCAAGACGCTTGGGGCTTACACTCTGGTAGGCAACCCTGCGAGTCAAGACGAGAGGCGGCGACACTCTAGAAGTCAAGACTTTGGGCGACGAAGGTTGGTGGCGACGCTCTAGTCGCCAACACACTTGGCGAAGATACTCTCTGGCGAAACTTGGTTCTTAATTTATCCCGAAACGATAAAAAAGTGAGGCAACTTTGGCCTTGCGACCCGATCTGGAGACCATTGCCTGATTTGCCGACCACGGCCAGTTATACCCCCACGCGTAAGCCCCCAAAGGGTCCTTAACCGTTGTTGGAAAATAACTCATTGGTCCAAGTGCGGTCGTCTGCTACGCATCATCCGTGGTCCTCCTCTTCTCCTCCTCCCTCTCCTCCTCCTCTCACTTCCTCCTCTCACTTCCTCCCTATCCTCGTCCTCTTCCGCATCTTTCTTCCCTCCTCTCCTCGTCCTCCTCCTAGTCCTCTTCCTTCTCCCATTCCTCCCCTCCCCAGATAACCTCCAGGCAGCAGCAAGAATGAAGAGAACGCGAACATGAGAAGGCGGCAGGGGCCTGATGAGAGGAAAGCTGGATGAGAGAGCAGAGGAAGGGAACTGAGGAGCAAGAGGCGGGAGCAACGATGGCAATCGGCTGGGGCGAAAAGAGAGATGACGATGACGTCGGCGACAAGGAGGATGGCGCCATGTCAGTCCTCGGGCGAGGATCGCCCGCTCTCTCTTCCAGCTCGGCCGTCGCACCGCAGCGCAACCGCTGCAGTGCCCGCGCCCACTCGCAGAGCAGTGGGCCTGCTTCGAGGCCAGCACCCCGAGAGAGCCCCACTCGACCCTCGGGACTTCAAAGCTAAAAGGGCCCCCCCGAGCCACCTCCCAGTACACGTGTGTTTGTTTAGGTGTGTGTGTCTAGGTGCAATGTAATCTAGCTATCGGGTTGTAGGGTGGTTCTTAGGCGTAGACGGTGCGCGCGTGCGTGCATGTGTGTGTGAGTGTGTGCTAAGGCGTGTCCGAATGAGCCCTGTTAATTTCACATGCGTGTGAATGTGCGTGCAGTCTTCTCTCAGGTGCCCCCCACATGTTGCCCCCTAGTGGCTCAAGGAGGCCCGCGAAAGAAAAAGGGCCTCTAACGCCTGGCGCGCTTGAGGCCCGCGGGCTTCGCCCCGCCAGCGCTTGCAGCGCCGCGCTTGGGCGCGCCCGCCTTGCTCGAGGCGGCCGCCTCCGAAAGCGCACCCGCCTTCACCGCCGTCACCTTGCTCTCCGTGGTGGCCGCCGCGCCCACCGCCTGCTTCTTCACGTCGGGCGCGTGGAAGCTGCTCGGCGCGACGCTGCCGCTGCGCTTGCCACCGCCACCGCCGCCACCGTTTGCCTGACCAGCAGCGGGCTTGGCCACCGACTCGCCATCGGCGATGGCGTCTCCCACCTGGCCTGGGCGGAGCTCCGCCGCGATGGCCTCGAACTCCTTCCAGAAGCCCGCTGGCACGTCGCGGTGCTTCTCCGACTTGGAGTACTTCTCCAAGTACTCTGTGGCGTCCTTGGGCCCCGTGGGGCTCGTCCTGAGCCTCGCCAGCATGCTCTGGCCGCGCGTCATCGTCACCACCTGCAGCGCCTTGCCCTGCATGGCGAGCACGCCCGCGCAATGCGCATCGCCACGGGCACGCCAGCCGAGCATCAGCCAATGCAGATGAGGGTAAGCGTGAGGAGATGAATAAGGGAAGATCCCACATCCATCTCTCCACGCTCACCCTCATCGTCCCCCTCCTCCTCCTCCTCCTCGTCCTACCCTTCACCCTGACCCTCCTCCTCCTCCTCATCCTCCTCCTCCTCGTCCTCCTCCTCAAAATCCGCATCCCCATCATCATCCTCATCCTCCTCACCCTCATCATCCTCATTCTGCCCCTCGGCTTCTCGCAATCAGATTCGTCCTCATCCTCCTTCCCCAGCTTCAACTTTCCAATCACCTCGCACCTCTCCTCCTGCTACTGCTGCTGCTGCTGATCCTCCTCCTCCTCGTCCTCCTCCTCCTCATCCCCCTCCTCCTCCTCCTTCTCCTCCTCATCCTCCTCATCCTCTTCCCTCTGCTCCTACTCTTCCTCCTCCTCATCTTCGTCCTCCTCCTCCTCCTCCTCCTCCTCCTCCTCATCATCATCATCATCATCATCATCATCATCATCATCATCATCATTATCATCATTATCATCACCATCATCGCCATCATCGCCATCATCATCATCATCCTCCTCCTCCTCCTCCTCCTCCTCCTCATCATCATCATCATCATCGTCATCATCATCACCAGCATCATCATTATCATCCTGGTCAGTCTCATCCCTCTTACCCTCCTCTTTCTCCTCCTCCTCCTCGCCCTCCTCTTCCTCCTCATCCTCCTCCTCCCCCTCGTCCTCCTCCTCCTCCTCCTCTTTCTTCTTCTCCTCCTCCTCCTCCTCCTCCCTCTCCTTCTCCCGTCCCCTCCTCCTCCTCCTCCTCCTCATCACCCTCCTCCTATTATCCCATTCCCCCTCACCTCGTGCCTGAGCAGAGGGCGAATGGGGGGGGCGGGGCAGAGAAGCTCGGCTGGCGGCCACAGACCTCGGTGTTTGGGGGGGGGGGCCAAAACGAAATCACATGTTGATTTTCGTGAGCATTTTGCGATGTGGAAGCCGTTTCTAACCAGGTCCAGCATCAGCAAGTAGACGTGCATGTTGCCGTTCAGGTCGGGCACGCAGGCGATGTCCATACCAAGGCATTGGTTGAACTTGGTCCACTTCGGTAAGCTTGCGATTGGATGCGCTGGCGGTCGCTGCTGAGAGTCGCACAGCTCGCACTTGAATAGCTTCGCCGCCGAAGCCGCCGCCGGTGATCCACCGCCTGCTTGAATATGTCGGGCCAGATCTTCCACTCGTAGTGCATGTGAAAACTGAACGTGTAACTTCTTGATCGCCGCCTTGAGTGCCGCTGGTACTTGCTGCCATTGTTGGTATGTCTCCGCGTCTGAGCCCATGATGAGGCCTGAGCTTGACGTGAAGCCTGTAGCGGGGCATGCGTCAGTGGCGTTTGGAATTCCCAGGATGATGTCGCCACCCAGAAGCTTCTCCAACTCGCACTGCTGCTTCGTGCCCTCGAGGATTCTTTCTGCCATGTCCAGGGTCCAGACCGCAAAATCACGAGACTTACCGCCTCGGCCTTGAACTTCACCATGTCCGTGATCTCTTGTACACCGAACCTCCAGTGCATATGCCAATGCCACTGCTGTCGTTACAAACCTCGTTGGCTTTTGAAGCACATTTCCACGATCATCTCGTATATCGAAAGCACATTGATCGCACCGAACCCATATCAACTCCAGTGGGAGCTCGTCCTTGATGAGGTTTCACACTTGAGAGCACAGAGGTTTCTCCAGCAGAACATGTGGCCCATGTGCCAGTCGGTGCTTGACGATCTGTAGGGCAAGTCGCACTTGTGCGAGTGCTTTCGCGCGGCGTCTGCGCCGCTCCTTCTCCGGGTAGAAGTTGTTAATGTACGAGAGGCCGTCGCGCGGGAAGGGCGCGAGCGTGAGGTGCGGGCCCTCCCCCTCGATCTCTCGCATCGTAGCTGCTTGAACGCTTGGCAGTAGCAAATCGTCGCCTGTGGTGCGTAAGTCCTTGCACTTGCCAGTCTTGCGTCCACAGCTGTCCGCGAGCTTCGTGACATTGCACTCCGCCGTGCATCTCCTTCACCACCGTCCCAGGGACAAACAGCCGATGTTGATCCTTGCGTAGTACGGTCCAGGTCGCCCGCTGCTCTCGCGCATGATCTGCGATCCAGGCGCCCACCTGCATCTTCCGGGACTTGGTCATGATGCGGGTGTCGCCCACCGCGGTCGTGATCTTCTCGATGGCTGCCGTCACATACTGCGACTGATCCTCCTCCTCGGCCGCCCATGCGTCCAGCGGCTTTGTGCTGATCGTCGGTGCCTCGATCTGCGTTGGCTCCTTCGGGAAATCGGTGATGTTGATCATCAGGTGGTTCTTCCGCGAGCGCGCGATCTTCACGGGCTGGTCGGATATCTTCTTGAATATATAACCTGGTCGCTCTTCACCTTGATGACTGCATCGAGGGCGCCCATCTGATCCAAACTCATGAGCATGGGGGCGTCCGAGTCTGGTAGCCTCTCGAAGTTGAGCGTGCAGTCTCGTCCCTGGATGCCGCTCGGTACTGCCTGTGCACTTTTGGCCTTGATGGGCGCCGAAGTGTTGATGCCCTTGAAGATCGTCTGAGCGGGCGTCTGGATGTCAGCCAGATCGAACTTCTCAAGATGGCTGTCGGTCGCTCGATTTCCGCCGCATGGTGCCAAGGCTGCCGTGTCTGAGACGATGTAGCCAGGAGGTGCCACCTGATCTGCCGCCATCGTGTCGATCATTTCCTCGTTGAGCTGGTTGATCGGGTTGATCGCCTCGTCGGTGTGGTTATGTGTCGGCTCGATCATGTAGACCTCGGTGGGTCTGCCGACTCCTGTCGCCAGCATGGCTGCAGCCAGCCCGGCGCGCGCCAGAAAACCTCCAGCGCGTCCACCTTTGCCTCGTCCAGCTGCTGCCGCTCAAGCCTTAGGCCCGGTGGCCTTCTTGGTTTTGCTGCACTCTGGGTCTCCAGCCCAGTGTCCTCCTTCGCCGCGCGCTCCACACTTGCTTACCTTCTGGAAAGCCCCCGGCTTATCCTGGAGCTCCTTCGAGCCGAAGCTGATCTTCCTGTCAAAGTCGATGTAGGTTTTGCCCAGCCGAAATCCACGATTCGTTTTGCCGTCCTTCATGAATTGGCGTTGCCGGGTGCAGTTGGAGCCCGTAGAGCTCTCACTGCCTTTTCCACGTCCACGTCCTTTTGCCGCGATAGCTCCACCAAGCCTTCGAACCTCCGTCGCGAACACCTGCACCTCTTCCTCGCTGAGGTCGTTGATGTCCACGATGGCCATGGCCCGCTCGAGCTCCTCTACTTCGGCGGACAAAACTTCCATCTCCTCTCCGTCCTCGTCTCCACCACTATCTTCTTCTCCCTCAGGGTCGTCCTCGTCACCTTCGTCGTCCTCGGGGTCTGCGGGGTAGGCTGAGTTCCACCTGAACTTGCGCCCTCCATCTCGTCGTCCACCGTGTTGTCGCTGCTGCGATCTACGAGCGTCGATGCCGTCGAGGTGAATCTCGAGCACCTCTCAAATCGCGTCCCAATCGCACTCGTTCTGGGCCTGGCCCAGGAACGCGTTGTGCTGGGTCTCGGTGATGTCGCGCATGTCCAGCAAGAAAAACGTCCGCAAATCTTATGAAACCTGCGCGCTGCCGCCGGTCAAATACTTGAGCTTCTCGTAGGAGCCCGTTTTCCTTTGAATGAAATCCTTTTATCGGCTCGTTGGACCGACGATGTCCGCGCTTGAAATAACCCAGAAAAGCCTTGTGATTCTGCAATGGCGCCACCTTCTCGCAGTGTGAACGCACACGCTTTATCAAGATGTCTAGAGCTTCTTCTGTCGCTGCCTCTTTCTCTGCTTGCGTCTCGCTTTTCTTGAAAAACTTACTGAAATCTGCCGCCGAAGTCTTCGGGTCTTTGTGACTTCGCGTCCACGCCCTGTCCGTCAAACTGTTCTTGACCTTCGCGATGAAAGTATTTCTCTTCTCTGCCATCTCTGCGCCTAAAAATCCAAGCCGAACTCGTTCGCCCCATTCTTCTGCCGACGCTGCGTCTCAACAAGGAATGCCGTCTTTCTCGAGCCACACGTGCCCATCTTTGCGCTCGTCCGAAACCTGCGACATTGTGCCGAACGGGTCGTCGCAAGTGGTGAACTTGAAGGGGTCGGTGAACTCGGTGAAGCCGGTGAACTTTATGAGGTGGTGGTCGAGAACGAGTTCTCAAACAAATATGAAGCGCCTGACTGCCAAGAACGAGTCTTTTGGATATGAAAGAGCGTTGGGAAACTGCACCAATGAACTAGCATTGGCCGTCTCGAAACACAAGCTCCGCACTACCAGTGTCAATGATAATGATTGTCGAGCCTTCTCGGTCGATCGTATATGAAACGGCGCGTCCAGCACCGCGCGCACAGCTTGCTGAAATCAGGGGAACCCCCGTCGCAGACTGGAGCACATTTGATAACTTGTTATCGCTGTCTGGCTCAAAAAGTGGATCCTCTGATATCGTTTGAGTGAACAAACGGCCGCGGCAAAACATAACGTGTCATGTTATGTGTTTTAAAAGTCCTGGAGCCCTGGTCGGGGCAACAATCTCTTAGCTGCTGATCTATTGCGTTTCGGGCTGTCCCAAAACCTTTCATTTTCGCACTAGGGGGCCTCTTGGGGCCCTCTTGGGAGCCTCTCTGGGCCCTCTTGGGCCGTCTTGTGGCCCTCTTGGGCCGTTCTGGGCTCCTCTGGGTCCGTCTTGGGCCCCTCTTGGGCCGTTTTGGGGCCCTCTGGGGGCCTCTTGGGCCGTCTTGGGGCGATTTTTGGAGCCTCTTGGGCCGTTTTGGGCCGTTATTGGCCCGGAAGGGCGAGAACCCGAAACAAACTTCAAAAGCAAGTTAAAAATCAATAACATCTGCCTCTTCGAGCCGTCTTGGGGGGCCTCTTGGAGGCATCTTGGAGCGTCTCGGGGCTCCCTTGGACCGTCTTGAGGCCATCTTAATACATATTGGAACGGTCTTGGACAGTCTTGGGGTTTCTTTGAGCGCTCTTGGGCCCTCTTGGGTCTCTTGGGCCCCTCTTGGGAGCATCTTGGGCCGTCGTGGGCGCTTCTAGGGCCGTCTCGGGCGCCTCTTGGGCCGTCTTGGACGCCTCTTGGGCCGTCTTGGGGGGAGGGGGGGGGGCGATTGTCCGGATCCCCTCCCGCTTCGCCCCTCCCGTGGGCCCCTCCCTTAAGGGCTTCGCCCCACCTGAACGTCATCACTCGTACCTCGCTCTTTCCGTTGCCTCCAGGACGCTTCAGGGAGGCCCAAGAGGGCCCCAATACGGCCCAAGAGCGCTCAAAGAGGGCCCAAGAAGGCCTCAAGACGGCCAAAGAGGCCCCCAAGACGAACTGGAGTCCAGTTCGCACCGAAAGAGCCCCAGATCCCCCCGAGGTCGGGCGAACTGGATGCCAGTTCGCTTCGAAATGGCTCCAACATGGGCCCATGCCCCCTCGAATCCAGGCGAACTGGATTCCAGTTCGCCCCGCAATGGCTTTATATCCCGAGATCGGGCGAACTGGATTCCAGTTCGCCCCGAAATGGCGAAACGCCCCCCCAAGATCGGGCGAACTGATCGGGCGAACTGGATTCCAGTTCGCGCCGAAGTGGCCCCAGATTCCAGTTTGCCCCGAAGTGGCCCCATACCCTCCCGAGATCGGGCGAACTGGATTCCAGTTCGCGTCAAAATGGCCCCAGATCCCCCCGATATCGGGCGAACTGGATTCCAGTTCGCAACAAAATGGCCCGAGATCGGGCGAAATCCAGTTACCGAAGTGTTTTTTGGGGGGGCAACAACGAAATCACAGGTTGATTTTCGTAAGCATTCTGCGATGTGGAAGCCGTTTCTCCCTCCCGATATCCCGGGGGTCTCCAGAACCCCGGGCGTCTCCAGAGACCCCCCAGAGGCCCGGAAAGGACCGATTCTGCCCGGAACCTTCGATCCTCGATCTTCGATCCCTCCCCTTCCTTCTTTTCCTTATCGATCCTCTTTTTTCCCTCCTCGATCCTCTTTCTGCCCCCCCCCCTCCTCCTTCTACCCCCCCCCCTCGCCTCCCCCCTTCAGTCGACGCAAATCCGTTTAAAATCGTTCCTCAGACCTTCCGGACACGGCCTCCAGAGGCTTAACAGGCGAACGACGTCCTCGAACGTCATTGTCTCCTCGAGGGTCATTCTCATCGCCGACGCGTGGGAGTGAATTTTCGCCAGGGTGACCTTTGGCGCGCGGCTCTGAAGGACTCGGATGCGCCCCTCGTCGTCGCAGCCGGGCGTAGCTAGAAAAACGAGCCAGTTTGGACCCCGGGAGGGGTCCGGGCGGCGATTTGGAAGCGGCTTTGTGCGTACCAAAGGTGTGTTTTGAGGCGGCCCTGTGCGTACCAAAGGTTCCCCTCGCCAAGACTCCCTCTTGCGCCCCCCGACCTCCCGCCCCCCTTTTCGCGCCGAGCGCGACCGCGCAGCTCCTCAGCCACGTCTCGGCTCGGTCAGACGTCGGCCGCGGCCTTGGCCGTGGCCGTGGCCGCGGCCGCGGCATTGGCCGCGGCTGTGGCGGCCGCGGCGCCGGCGGCCGCAGGGGCGGCGGCGTCGGCGCAGGCCACCGAGCCCTCCGCCGCCGCCGCCGCCACCGGCGAGGAGGCAGGAGCGACGCCGGCAGCGGTCGACGATCGAGGTGTGGCGCGTTTCCCTTTTTTGTCAGGCCTCCAGGGGCGCACTCGTGGCCACGGCAGGATCCGCTTCGAAGTCCTTCCCTCCAACCTGCCCTCCCCCCAGGAGGGGTCGGCGTGCTCGAAGTCCTTCCCTCCAACCTGCCCTCCCCCCAGGAGGGGTCGGCGCGCTCGCCCCAGGAGGGCCTGCCCCCCCCCCCAGGAGAGCCAATTCCCCCCCCCCACCCCCAGGAGGCGCCGGCCTGCTCCCCCCAGGAAGGGTCGGCTTGCCCCCCCCAGGAGGGGTCGGCCTGCCCCCCCCCCCCAGGAGGGGCAACCTGCCCCTCCCACCCTCGTCGCCGCGGCTTTGTAAGATGCCAGATCATGGTCAGAGCACCCTCCGTTCGCCCTGCATACCGCGGGCGCCCGGCGCGCGAGCCGTGGCGACCACGAAGCTTCGCTCGTGGAGCTTTCGCGCTTTTTCTCATGAACAGGACCCGCCGGGCCCAACCCGAAATTTCCCTTATCCTGTCCCAAGAGCCCCTGCGCACATAATGTCCTAAGAGTATTTGCCCGTAGACATTCCCGAAGCAGCGCGGACCCCTTGACCGCAGGCCCAATAGATAGTCCAGGGCCCGCTGGGCCTGAACGCAGTGCCCATGTCAGAGTCCCGCACTGGACGCCGCCCACGTATTTACCCAGACGCGGGGCAGCTGATCTTGGGTAGCTTGGGCCTTTGTCGGGGCCCGCCCCGGGAGCTTCGAGGCCAGCGTGGACCTCCCCATTGCCCGAATGATTGAGAAGGCGATTTCAGTTCGCTTTACCGCGGGCGATCTTGGGCAACGCAGGACCCATCGAGGCGCTCCGATGCCACTCTGGGTCCGCGTGAGGACCGCAAAGGTGGCGAACTGGATTCCAGTTCGCGCGATATCAGGGGATATTGGCCCATCGGGGGGCCATCCTGAGCTCTCGGAGGCCGCGTCGGGCCCACTTGAGGGGCCGAAGGGCGACGAACGGGGGCCCAGTTGGCCCTATCTTGGGCGATATTGTCCCAAAATTCTTGGTGGCCCTCGATCCTTGGAGAATTGAGGCCCTCCTGGGGCCCTTTGGGGGAAGGGGGGGGGGGGTCGTTGTTTTTGAGGGGCGATCTGGGACCCCCGGGCCCTTCAAATTAAGGGGTGGGCAATTCAGGTCCCGTTCTCGGGGGCGTCTGAAGGCCGCCGCCCTGGGGGCCCCCTTGGGCGGTGGGGGCCGTCTTGGAACCATCGATTTTTAAAACGGGGTTCGCTCGTGAGCAGTGTCCCTCGACATCGCCTCAAATCGCTGATTGCACCGCTCTTGGGTGTTCTTCGGGCCGTCTCGGGGCGCTCTCGGGGCTCTCTCGGGGCTCTCTCGGGGTCCTCTTGGGTCACTTTTGGAGCCCCCCCCCCCTGGGGGCCTCGGGGGGCCATTGGAAGCGACGCGGCGAGAATGCCAGATGTGAGCAAAGACCAGGACCCTGTTAGGCTCGAAAGGCTCGTAGGTCAAGGGGACTTGGGCCTACTTTCAGGAACTTTACGAGTTAGCCCAGCAGTATATCATGAGAGACGGCAAAAACAGATGCGTTTCCTGGCGTTCCATGGCATCCCTGAGCCAGGTCCTGCCCATGAATCAGGCCCTGCCCCCCTGCCCCCCGCGCCCCAGGAACGACCCCAAACGATGCCGGCATCGACCCCAACTTCGGAACGACGGGATAAGAATCTTGGTATGATGTGTCCTAGGCTGTTGTGAGCTTCGCTTGTGCCGTTGTGAGCTTCGCTTGTGCTTGGTCCGACCATTGCCACTGCCACTACCACTACTACTACTATCTCCCTCGCCCCCCCCCCTCTCTCCGTCTTTCCTACTCCTTCCGGCTGGATATAGTTACCGGCCCCCGAACTTCATTATCCCCGGGGGATTTATCCTGGGGGGGCAGGGTTTTAAAATCGGAGGTCGGCCTTCTTCTCCTCTTCTTCCTCCTCCTCCCCCCCCCCTTCTTCCCTCCTCCTTCCGCCCCCCCCCCTCCACGTCTCGCCCCCGACGTCGCGCACTGCGTCCCCCGAGGCCTCGACAACGCATTCTTTTTTGGAGGGGTTTTACCCCGGGTCGTTTTGAACGGCCCCGGGGGGGTCCGGGAAACGGCAGCCAGAGGCCGAAAACGTCGGAAACCCACTCGTGTGGTCGACGCTCCCGCTCTCCCTGGAGCGACGTGCGCGTTCGCCCCGCCCCCCGAGGCCGCCCTGCCGCTCGCCGGCCACCCCGCGGCGCCGCTGGGCGCCGGGCGCGATCCCGCGAAGGCTGCCCCGCCGCCGGCCGCCCGGCGCGCGGACGTCCGGGGCATTCGAAGGTCAGCACGAGGTCCCGCCCTAGAGTTCCGACGCCGCGAAATTCACTGGAAAGGTTTCTGGCCGCTGGAGGCCCTCGCCGGGGCCTGGGGGCGTCAAAAAGCCACCTGGGATGGAAAGCCGGTCCCGGGGGAGGGTTTCCAGATTTCGGGGGTCAGCTCGGAGTCGGAGTTCGGATTTCCCCCCAGTCGACCCGACGCAGTTTGGGGGCGCGACCCCTCGCGCGCGTCCCCGCTGGGCAGCGGCTGTCTTCGATCCGATCCGCTCTGCCCCCGCTACCCTTGCGTGCGCGCCTTCTACCGCGGTGCGTGCCTACGAGTCCTGCGATCTCTCTGAGACGGCGCTGTACGAACTCGGCCGCAGGATTAGGATGTCGCGCCCGTAGTGGGCGAGAATATGTTCATTAGTCGGCAGCGTCGAAACAATCCTAATTTCATTCGGGCGCCACGGCGCGGCGCATTGCACGTGAAGGAGGAGGAGAGCATGTAAGAAGGGAGAATCCATAGCGCGGATGAGGGTTAGGAGGGCGGGCGAGGGATAGGAAGGCGGATGAGGAGGCGGCGGACGAGGCGAGATTAGACGGAATGCCGTAATGCAGCCATCTAGGGCGACCTATTCCGTAATGCAGCCATCTAGGCCACAGCCATTTTGGCGAAGGCCTTTCAGTGGGCGAGCTGGAGTTGCCACCGCCCTGCAGAGAGCGAGCGTCCGCCCGTCATGGCGGCACACTTGCAGTTCGTGGAGAACGAATGGACTTGCCCGCAGTGGGTGTCGCTCAGTGACGGGCCGTGGGTGGACGCACCCTACATGCAGTGGGACCGCGCCACGGGCTCGTGGAAGTGCCTTATGTGCACTACGAATGGGAGCACAGTGACGGCAGATCACTTGGCGGCGGCCAGACACAAGAACAGGACAGAGGGAGTCTGGAACAATTTGGCATCTTTCACTCGCGGCTGGGGGGGGGGTCATCGTGCAGGTTCACACGGACGACAACTACATCCAAACACCTCCGCAGCAGTTGGCGCTGCCAGCGCCTCAGCTAGCGCAAGCGGCACCAGGACTTCAGCCGCCGCCCGCAGCAGCTGGCCGCGGCCAGCCAGCACCTCCAGCTGGACATCAGCCTCCGGCAGCTGGGGCTCCAGCTGGACCTCCGCCTCCAGCAGCTGGAGCTCCAGTGCTTCAGCCGCCGCCCGCACCAGCAGGGCAGCCAGCAGCAGCAGCTGGCCAGCAAGCACCAGGACCGTCGCCCACGGAAACGCTGCTGCAGGCAATCGTCGACGGGATCGTTGGTTTGCAGGCGGGTACGAATGCCACGCACGAGGCCATCGAGGAGTCGAACAACTTGTTGCAGACGCTCGCAGAGCGAGTGCAGTTGGTGGCGGACCGCGTCGCGGAGACCAACGAGCTGCTCGGGGTTATGGCCCAGGCAGCGCCGCGCGGGTCGCCAGCGCAGGCCGTGCGCGCGAACCGCGGTGATGCGGCGCCCTCCCAGGCGGCGCCCTACCAGCAGCATGGCACTGACGCGGCGCCTACCCCCCCGTGATGCGGCGCGCGACGCATCGGACATGTATCGCGATACATCGATACATCGGACTCTGCATCGGACTGTGCGTCGATACATCGGAGTTTATGCACCGAGTTGGGGGTCGGACTACGTTTGCATATGGCGATGCGCATCGTCGGCAGCCGATTTCAATGTTGTATAATAGGGGCGCAGCGGGCATTTTTCCCCGACGGCGGCTCATCTGCTCGTGCCACACGTGACCTCGGGGTCGCCCCGCACTTGCGCGATCCGATACTGCTTTCCCCTGGCCCTTGGGGGGCACTGTGTGCATTCGGAGCTCTCCCGTGGGATGGCCCTCCTAGGGAGAGCGATTAGTCTTCCTGACAGGGAGGGCGAGCCTCGTTGTGAAGATTGGAGCGCATGGCCCACTGCGCTATGCAATGCAGAAAGAAAAACATTAGCCTGGCGTAGGACCCAACCATGTGCAATTGTGAACACCGCAGTTGTGAATATCTTCTTCGGTGGCGCTCAGGCTTATTCAAATGGCGATCTTGCTCGCCAAGCTGATTCAAATGGTTTACGCCGCCCAGACGCACATACACGCACACGCACGCACACACACACACACACACACACACACACACACACACACACACACACACACACACACACACACACACACGTGTCGACGCCACTCCGCGCCATCGAGATCTTGCGCATCGAGCGGTAGTGTTGGTGTGCTCCACGCGTGGAAGAGGGGCTGGGTTCTTCGCCAAGGTAAGTTGCGGGAGCAGCTCGCAGACTGCAATGCTTGGGCGTATTAACAAATCCACATCGGTGTTCGGGTCCCTCCTCTAACCTTACCGCTGCGCTACTGTCCGCCACCTTCGGTCCATTCTTCGGCCCCGTCTGCGGTCGCACCCTCCGACGGCGACTGGAGCACTGAAGCACCGTCCCCGATTCCTCTAAATCAATTCATGTGCGCCCGTGATGGTGCTAACCCTCGTCGGCAATTGTGCCCCCCTGCGCTGTGGGTGGGGGGGGAAAGGATGGGGGGTACGGGGCAGGGAGTAATGGCTGGGGAGTACGGCATGGAGAGCAAGGGATAGGGAGTAAGGGGTGGGTGGGGAAGAGGTGTGAGGATGCTGGGGGTAGCACCTCCTGGGATACGGTCAGTGCCTTTTGTCATCACCGTATTGCCATCGCCTCTTTCCGCCCGCCGAGATCGGGCGAACTGGATTCCAGTTTTGTCTCAAAATGGCACCCGATCCCCCCGAGATCGGGCGAACTGGATTCCAGTTCGCACCGAAAGGGCCCCAGATCCCTCCGAGATCGGGCGAACTGGATTCCAGTTCGCCCCGAAGTGGCCCCATGCCCCCCCGAGATCGGGCGAACTGGATTCCAGGTTGGCTCCATATCCCCCCGATATCAGCTCCATATTCCCCCGAGATCGAGCGAACTGGATTCCAGTTCGCCTCAAAATGGCCCCCGACCCCCCCGAGATCGGGCGAACTGGATTCCCCGCCGAAAGGGCCCCAAATCCCTCCGAGACCGGGCGAACTGGATTCCAGTTCGCCCCGAAGTGGCCCCATCCCCCCGAGATCGGGCGAACTGGAATCCAATTCGCGCCAAAATTGCCTAGGACCCCCCCCCGAGATCGGGCGGACTGGATTCCAGTTCGCTCCACAATGGCTGCACCCCCCCCCCCCGAGATCAGGCAAACTGGATTCCAGTTCGCCCATCAAAGGCCCCATCCCCTCCCGTGATCGGGCGAACTGGATTCCAGTTCGCCCCGAAATGGCGAAGCACCCCCCCAAGATCGGACGAACCAGAATCCAGTTCGCACCGAAAGGGCCCCAGATCCCCCCGAGATCGGGCGAACTGGATTCCAGTTCGCCTCAAAATGGTTCCAACATGGGTCCATGCCCCCTCCGAGATCGGGCGAACTGGATTCCAGCTCGCTCCGCATGCGTGTGCGTGTGCGTGTGCGTGTGCATGCGCGTGTGCGTGCGCGTGTGCGTGTGCGCGTGCGTGTGCGTGTGCGTGTGCGTGTGCGTGTGCGCGTGCGTGTGCGTGCGCGTGTGCGTGTGTGCGTGTGCGTGTGCGTGCGTGCGTGTGCGTGCGTGTGCGTGTGCGTGTGCGTGTGCGTGTGCGTGTGCGTGTGCGTGTGCGTGTGCGTGTGCGTGTGCGTGTGCGTGTGCGTGTGCGTGTGCGTGTGCGTGTGCGTGTGCGTGTGCGTGTGCGTGTGCGTGTGCGTGTGCGTGTGCGTGTGCGTGTGCGTGTGCGTGTGCGTGTGCGTGTGCGTGTGCGTGTGCGTGTGCGTGTGCGCGTGCGTGTGCGTGTGCGTGTGCGTGTGCGTGTGCGTGCGCGTGTGCGCGTGCGTGTGCGTGCTGCGTGCGTGCGTGCGTGCGTGCGTGCGTGTGTGCAATCGGTCGCGACGATTAGTGTAACGACCACAGTGACGAGCGCGAGGGCGACAGCGACGGCGATGACAAACACGACGACGAGTACTATAATGACGTCGGTGATGGTGTAGTTGATGACGCATGTCATGAGCAGCGCGACGATGATGATGAGGCTCATGAGGCTGACGACGATGAAACTGATGACGTTGATGACAACGGTGGTGAAGTCACCGTGGGCGCGTGTTGCCAGATGAGATGGGGGCGCTCGCTCGAAGGGGAGCGTTCCTCAGGGTCCGACAACCCGCACCCATGCCCATAGCCAATCCTCCTCCTCCCAACGACCCCCCTATGGGTATGGGTGTGTGTTGTTCGTTCGTCACATACTGCCACCGTACCCATTTTGGCTCAACCCATGTTGAGCAAACGGCTCCCGAACTCCCGAACTCCCGAGCTGTCGGGGCCGCAGCATCATAAGCATGAAGCGTCCAGCTGCTGCCGGCGGAGCGGGCGCAGCCCCAGCGCCAGCCCCGAAAGCGGCCAGACAGGATGACGCGGGCACGCCTTCATTCACGTCGGTGTATGACGTGGAGACGCGCGTTTTCACGAAGTATTGGCCGTCGGCATACACGCAGTGGTGGAACGACAATGGCGTTTGGCGGCACGCACGCTGGAAGTGCCTAGACGTCGTCTATCTTGATGGTGTTTACAAGTACATCCGATGATGGCGTTCATCTCTGCAGCGCTGCCGTTCATATTCATGCAGGCAGCCGTTCATATGCCTCAGCGCGTTGGTTTTCAGTTCGTATCAGATTCGATCATTATGCATACCATTGCGCTGGATTTCAGTGCGTCTCATTATTTGCGCTGGATTTCAGTGCGTACCATTGCGCTGGATTTCAGTGCTGGATTTTCAGTTGTTCAGATCCTTGCGCTGGATTTCAGTGCGTATCATTATACATATCATTTTAGCTCTCAGCTGCAGGCTTGATCGCGTCGCAGCCTTTCATCATATCTCCGCAGCGCGTGCCGTTCATATGCCAGTCGCTCATATTCCTCATGCTGATTATATAGGAGGTTTCCTCGCCGTGGCGACTTCCGATCGCGTCGCAGCCTTTCCCATCTCAGCAGCGCGTTTGGCGTTGTCTTTCTTATGGTCGAATGGAATCGGTCGCAACGGATGCAGCAGGAAAAAATTATCCTGGCGAAGGACCCAACCATATGCAATTGTGAATACTGCAATTGTGAATATCTTCTCGGTGGAGCCCCCTACGGGGCCACGAAACGCACGAGGGGTGTGCCGAAATGGGTATGCGGGACGCATGCGGGCACACCCACTGGGGCCTTCGGTGGGCAAATAGCTCCACATCCCCACGGGATCGAGCGAACTGGATTCCAGTTCGCCCTGACATGGCTCCATATCCCCCCGAAATCGGCTCCATATCCCCCCGAGATCGGGCGAACTGGATTCCAGTTTTGTTTCGAAATGGCGCCCGATCCCCCCGAGATCGGGCGAACTGTATTCCAGTTCGCACCGAAAGGGCCCCAGATCCCTCCGAGATCGGGCGAACTGGATTCCAGTTCGCCCCGAAGTGGCCCCATGCCCCCCCGAGATCGGGCGAACTGGATTCCAGGTCGCCTCAAAATGGCCCATATCCCCCCGAGATCAGCTCCATATTCCCCCGATATCGAGCGAACTGGATTCCAGTTCGCATCAAAATGGCACCCGACCCCCCCGAGATCGGGCGAACTGGATTCCCCACCGAAAGGGCCCCAAATCCCTCCGAGACCGGGCGAACTGGATTCCAGTTCGCCCCGAAGTGGCCCCATCCCCCCGAGATCGGGCGAACTGGAATCCAATTCGCACCAAAATTGCCTAGGACCCCCCCGAGATCGGGCGAACTGGATTCCAGTTCGCTCCACAATGGCTGCACCCCCCCCCGAGATCGGGCAAACTGGATTCCAGTTCGCCCATCAAAGGCCCTATCCCTCCCGTGATCGGGCGAACTGGATTCCAGTTCGCCCCGAAATGGCGAAGCACCCCCCCAAGATCGGACGAACCGGAATCCAGTTCGCACCGAAAGGGCCCCAGATCCCCCCGAGATCGGGCGAACTGGATTCCAGTTCGCCTCAAAATGGTTCCAACATGGGTCCATGCCCCCTCCGAGATCGGGCGAACTGGATTCCAGCTCGCTCCGCAATGGCCATATATCCCGAAATCGGGCGAACTGGATTCCAGTTCGCCCCGAAATAGCGAAACACCCCCCCAAGATCGGGCGAACTGACCGGGTGAACTTTATTCCAGTTCGCTCCGCAATGGCTGCATACCCCCCCGAGATCGGGCGAAATGGATTCCAGTTCGCTCCGCAATGGCTCTATCCCTTGCCGAGATCGGGAATGGCTAAGCCCCCCCCCAAGACCAACTCATGGTGGTGGCGGTGGAAAACAAACCCATCATCCGACCGCCGTCGGTGTGCCATGTTTGGGCGCCCGGGCGGGGTCGGCGTCGGCAGTTTCGGGCGTTGCGTCATTCGGAGGTTGACAGACTTCCTACCTGACGGGTCGATTGGCGAATTGGCAGTGTTCGGTTCGCGGGAGGGCGTCGCGGCCGTCTTCTTTGCGGGTCCAGGTCCCTCGGCGTTGGTCCTGGGCTGTTTTCACTAGAGGTTTGCTAAAGGGAGGCTTGTCCATCGCCGAGTAATGGGAGGAGAAGCGATACCCATCGGTCGGTGAAAGCAGGTACTTTTGGATTCCCGGTTCCCATTCTACTTTAGCCGCCCCCCCCTGCCTCAAGAGTCGAGCGGCCGGCCCTCCCCCCTCCTCTTCGGGAGGCGGGCGGAAGCCCAGCTTGCTTTCAACGTCTTCCTCCTTCGGGGTTCTGCTTGTTTCCCCCGACCGATGGATGCCCGGGGGGGGCGGGGAGAAGGGGTGCGCGTCTCGTGCCCTGGCCACGTGGGGCCATGCGTGGCCCCTTTGGGGCCCAGGAGGGGCGCGGGAGGTGCTTGCTCCTTCGCCTCCTTCGCGCAGTCCCCCCCCCCACACGGGCCGATGGCTGCCCGCCAGCGCCGGGGACTCGTCGGGGGCGCGTCCCACCGACAGCTACTGCGATGCGACAGATCGGGAGCTTCGAGGCGGGGGTCGATGCAAACGGGGGTCAGCCAGAGCACCCAATCTTGCAGGATCCTGGAAGGCCAGGGGCGCATTGACCCGGGCTTGAGTGCAAGATCCTGCAGGATCTTGCAGGAGCCTTCGCATTGACCCATGTCTGGATTGACCCGGGTCAGAAGATCTTCGAATAGCAGCGGCCTGCGCGTTTGTGGTGCCCCCCCGCCCCCCCCCTTCGAAATCCGCGCTGCAAAGGGTCACTCTCGCCCATGGTCGCTCTTACGTGTAGCCGATGGCAGGAACTGGCTCCGCTGGTCTAGGCCTCGCAGATGGGGTCGGAGCAAATTGGGTCGGATGATCGCGCCGCATCGCCGATGCCTCGGTGACGCAACTCGATGTGGAGCCCGACTTTCCCCACGCCAGTGTCGCTGATGCACCGCCGATTCTTCGGTGATGCATCGTCGATGCATCGTCGGTGCGGCACGATCCGCCGACCCCATCGACTCGGACCTCACCTGTCAGGCCTCTGGATAGGCTCAAGGGGTCCAGCGTTCAAGGACCGTGGTCTTGGGCTCTGGCGGCATCCGCAGTGGGGGTGAGGTTGCTACGCACGGCTAAGTACACGCCTGCCGGTGAAAGCGCGCATTTCTGGACTTCCCGTTGACGGCCCTCATCCTCGCGCTGCTCCTCCTGTTGCCCCTCAGCCGCTGCTGGCCCAGTCCGAACCAGGCCCCGCCGTCCCGCCGTTGGAAGCATGTATGTTTGGATTCCCAGCTCCTCGATATACGCGGCCGCCTGTCCGCCGGTCCGCGTACTTCTTTCGACTGTTATGCTCCTTTGTCCTCCGTATCCGTTTTGGCTCGAGCAAGCCTGCCGCTTGCCCCGCGGCTGCGCGCGCGGCCGCCCGCCGGCAGCCCTATGCGCCGCTGCGCGGCTGCGCCGCTGGGCCCCCGCGGCGCTTGGCAAGGGCCTGGCTCATGCCTCCTTTCGGCAGCGTCGGGTTGCCTGAGGTCGTGGACGCCCGAGATGGGCACGGAAAGGATGGGTACGATGTCCAACAGCAGTTCCTGTTCATTCTGTCGCTGTCCACGCCGCCGCGGCCTGTGTCCATTCGAGACAGAAGGCCGCCTGCCCAACAACGGCCGCTGTTGGTTTGGGACAGCAGTTGTTGTTGGGCATTGTACCCATTCTTTCGGTACCCATTCCGGGTATCCAAAAAGGTGGGTGCATGGAGGCGCCCTCCGCCGCGCGCGCCGCAGCCGCCCGCCTGCCCGTTCCCGCCCGCGCAGCCCCCCCAGCTGGCCAAAGAAGGGCAGGCGCAGCCCACCGAGGCGCCGGCGGGCGGCGACCGCGGAGCCCGCGGGGCGCCAGCCAAGGCGCGCCCGGCAACGCGCCGCCGCCGCAGCCGCAGCCGCCGCGGCGGCGGCGGCGCCGCTTCGCAGCCAGAGGCCGCCGAGGAGGAGGACGAGTCCTGGGGCGCCTGGACCGCAGCTGGGAAGCGGCCGGCGGTGGGGGACGAGGCCGCCGAGGAGGGCGAGTCCTGGGGCGCCTGGACCGCGGCCGGGAAGCGGCCGGTGGCGGAGGCCGAGGCCGCCGAGGAGGACGAGTCCTGGGGCGCCTGGACCGCGGCCGGGAAGCGGCCGGCGGCGGAGGCCGAGGCCGCCGAGGAGGACCAGTCCCGGGGCGCCGGGACAGCGGCCGGGAAGCGGCCAGCGGCGGAGGAGGCCGCCGAGGATGACGACTCCTGGGGTGCCTGGACCGCGGCCGGGAAGCGGCGTGCGGCGGCGGAGGAGGCCGCCGAGGATGACGACTCCTGGGGCGCCTGGACCGCGGCTGGGAAGCGGCCGACGGCGGAGGCCGAGGCCGCCGAGGACGAGTCCTGGGGCGCCTGGGGCCCGACTGGGAAGCGGCGTGCGGCAGAGGCCAAGGCCGCCGAGGCGGACCAGTCCCGCAGGACTGGGAAGGCCAAGGCCAAGGCCGCAGAGGCCAAGGCCGCCGCCAAGGCCGCCGCCAAGGCCGCCGTCCTGGGAAGCGGCCCGCAGGCCAAGGCCGCCCCACGGGGCGCCTGGGGCCCGGCTGGGAAGCGGCGTGCGGCAGAGGCCAAGGCCGCCGAGGCGGACCAGTCCTGCTGGACTGGGAGCCCAGAGGGGAGATTCCGCAAAGGTTTTGCGGAATAGCTTTTTCCTTTATTTTGTGTTGATTCCTTAAATATGGTGTGATTCTTGTGTGTTCCGCTGATTTGTTTGCGTTCCGCTGTTTTGTGTGCGTTCCGCTGTTTCGTGTGCGTTCCTCTGTTTTGTTGTGTTGATCTCGGTGGTGATGATGTTGACGATGTTGATGCAATTGTTAATTCCGCTGCGTCTCCTTGATGATGGTGGAGATGGCGATGATGTGACGATGCGCATGGCATGCATATGTATGTGTATATATATACATATAAATGTATATATATACACAACTACACAATTACATAAACACACGCATACATGCATACGTCCACATACACATATTTATACAAACATACATACATACAGACATACATACATACATACATACATACATAACTATATAACTACATACATACACACATACATATACATACATACAGGTCCTTATATTATCATATACATATATTTATATAATGTTATGGGATTGCGAGCGTGCAATATTCTAGAAACACTTGTCGCCGACATGGAATGGGATAGCAGTGAGAAAGAAAGAGGCAGACCGAACTTCCCCCGCACTCCAGCTCGAGCGGCCTTCCTGCGCGTCGGCGCCCCAGTAGGCCACGCGCGAAGAGGCAGGGATGACAACAAAGAATCGGAGGAGGAGGGGGAGGAGCTGGAGGAGGGGGAGGAGGGGGAGGGGGAGGAGGAGGGGGGATTAGAAGGAGGAGGAGGAGAGGATGCAGATGGAGAAAAACGGAGCAAGCCCCAACTCACTGCATCGGGGATCTCGAGTCCTTAAAGAACGAACCGAGGGTCGTGTTGGGCTTGGGGCTCGAGGTCATCTCCTTGCCGATGCGATTGGCGCTCGCCCACGCCGCGTGGAGGGCTGCGCCGTGCTCCACGGGGTATGCCCGCGAGGCCCCCCCCCAGACTTGCGGGGCGGCCTGTCGAAGGGAGGGGGGGGGGGGGGGTGGGGGGGGGGGGGAGGGGGGCAGGAGGGGGAGGAGGAGGAGGAGGAGGAGGAGGGGGGGGAAGAGGAGGAGGAAAGGAACACAAGGAGGAGGAGGAGGAGGAGAAGGAGGAGGAGGAGGGGGAGGAGGAGGAGGAGGAGGAGGAGGAGGAGGAGGAGGAGGAGGAAGAGCCGCCGCCGCCAAACGCGCCGCCTCCTCAGGGAGGAGGAGGAGGAGGAGGAGCAGGAGCAGGAGGAGGAGGGGAACGAGGAGGAGGAGCCGCCACCAAACACGCTTCAATGAACCCCCAATGATTTCACATCAACCTCCACTGATATTTCAATGATTTCCCTCTCAGGGAGGAGGGGGAGGAGCAGGAGCAGGAGGGGGAGGAGAACGAGGAGGAGGAGCCGCCGCCAAACCCGCCTCAATGAACCCCCAATGATTTCATACCGACCCCAATGATATTCCAATGATTTCCCTCTAAGGGAGGAGGGGGAGAGGTCGCAGTTTTTTTGATAGGGAAACCGGCGTCGTGCGACGGTTGGGTCCGAAGCATCAGGGCTGGGGGAGGGAACCAAGGGCCTGCAGAGGGGATTCGATCCTGCTCGCCGTCGGCGTTGTCGGGTTTAGCTTTGCAGATGCAGTGCCAACATTCTCTCGGCAGCGTCGTGGCCAGGTGCACAGGACGTGGAGGGCCCCTGTTGCTGAACCCCTCCGAGGTATGTGAGGCACTGCTCTGCTCCAATAACCTGTGGTCTAGTAGGATTAGTATTCCTTGTTCCTCCTCCTCCTTCTCCTCCCCCCCCTCCCCCCCTCCTCCTCCTCCTCCCCCACCCCCCCCCCCATCCTAGGAGGAGGAGGAGGTGGAAGAGGAACTCGGAGGAGGGGAGGAGGAGGAGGGGGGGGGAGGAGGGGGATGAGGAGGGGGAGGAGGAGCTCCTCCCCCCCCTCCCCCTACCTCTCCTCCTCCCCTGGTCCTTCCCCCCTCCCCCCTCTCCCCCCCGTCCCCTCCTCCTCGTCCGTTATTCCCCCCCCCCCCACCTTTCCCCCCCCCTTCCCCTTCCTCAAGGGGGGGGGGGGGGGGAGGGGGGCGGGGAAGGGGGCTGACAACAATTTGATAGTTTCCCTGATCCCCATATTACCTCAGGCACGTCGGCCACGCACGGGAAACTGCAAATCCTTGACGTCGTCTGCTTTTCGAAAACACACCAGACGCACCGCGCATGCGCAAGGTAAAGAAGCCAGCTCGCAACCTGGGCCTGCACGTTCGCAAGCTCCACGGTCTCCGACGTGTCCTCCCATACCCAGTTCTCTCGTCTCCCCCCGAATCTCTTCTCTCTTCCCGTCTTGTTCGCGGCGCGCATGGCACGCTGGCAGAAAAGGGGCATGGGGGAGGAGAAAGAGGTGGAGGAGGAGCAGGAGGAGGAAGAGAAGGAGGTAAGAAGAGGAACGACCTCTCCCCCTCTCGCCCTGGACCCGCTCCTCGCACCCGATCATGCCGCCGTCGACCCTGCCGTAGACGTGAGCGGAGTTGGACCCGACCCAGGTGGCCGAATCCAACTCGGGGCAGGGGGTGGGCGAGAGCGAGCGGTTCCTCCTCTTGTCTGCTCTTTCCTGCTGCTGCAGCTCCGCCTCCTCTTGCTCCGCCTCCTCCTCCTGCACCTCCTCCTTTCTCACGTCTCCCCTCCCCCCCCCCCCCCCTGCCTCCATCCCCATCTGTGAGATTTCTGGAGACGCGTTAAACCCGAGGCCCACCGAAATAGTGATCAAGCCCCCGTGCTTGATCTGCAACGTGAGGAAGCCTAGGTGAAGCATGCCTTCGAGCGTGGTCATGTCCTTTCTGGAAGCCAGCAGAGGGGGGATTAGTGGGGGGAGTAGAATGAGCGGCACGACAATCCTTAATCGAGAGGGCCATCGAGCTCATCGAGCTCGCTATCGGACATCCGAACTGTAGGCAGGCTTCTAGATCGATGTCGACGCCGTCTGTCGAGCGCGGTTATGCGCCGTGGTGGCATTGCGAACCGCTTCATATATTATGCGGTGCGCAATGTCAGCGTGGCACCACTCCCTAGGGCACATTTCGAGCTAGAGTCTGGCAGTGACCAAGTCAGATTGGAAAGACCAATCTTCGCGCATTGCAAATCGATCGGGCCAAATGCGATCGAAAAAAAACCATCGGGGCGTTCGAGGTGGACGCCGAAGAGTCGGGGATTTGGGTGGCCATTTTAGCAGAGGTCCTCGTCAGCATGCCGAGTTCGCACATCGAACTCTCGAGTTGCACACCCCTCTTGGCGAAACGCCAGGGCTTCGCTGCCTGCCCCACTGCAGACCTGCGGGTCGAACGAGAGGCTACGCGAGATATTGGCACACCATTGGATGAGGGGGTGGATGTAGGGACGGGGGCGGGGGGAGCTCAGGAGGTGGAGGTGGGGGATGAGGGGGGGGGGGGGGGGGGGTTGGAGGACGGGGATGAGGGCGAGAAGGAGGAGGGTCAGGAGGAGAGCGAAGGAGAGAGGAGATATGGGCTCCCCCCCTTGCGCCCACAGTGCCCCCAGTAGGTCCAAAGTACGCTCTAGAGCATCCATGCGGGCGGCTGCCACCTCGGGAACTTCCAGCAGCATCGCATGGTAAGTCAATATCGGTGCATCTGCTCGAATGCGCTCGGCCAGGTCGAGCGTTTCGGGCGGCGTGCCGAGGTGGCCGCCTATCGGGCGGCATCCAACGCGAGA